TTGATTCAAGAGTTTTAAACATCAATAAAATTTTGTCATTATTTTTGTTTTTGTTTTCTGATGAATTTTAGTGGCATCTATGGTTGAAGAATTGTGCAAGGAAATGTTAAAGGAAGAAAAATTCTGATGGTTAATGTAAGTAATGATATTCAGGCAAAGAAACCAGTGACAAATCCATAATTCCATAGTATTGTCCTTCAAGGCACTTGCTACAATTTGTAACTTTATATTTATTATTGTGCATATATTTGATCTGCCCCTCAAGAATCTAAGCTTCATGAGCAATGAGAGCTTATCTGTCTTGTTCCTAGTTTTATACTCAGCTTTTGGCAAAATGATTGATCAAAAGAAACCGGTGAAAAAAAAAAAATTTAAATGAATGGCAAGACACTCATTTAATATGAAAGGAGAAGAATAAGAATTAAAAGCAATTCTGTATTCTGGAGAAATGGCTGGTTCCAGTGTGAAGCCAAGAGAGTGAAAGATGAGATATATCATCTTTCTTTGATTGAAAAAAGACTGACCGAGACATGACAACACAGCATAAGAATTTCTTCCTGGCTGGCTGCCCTGGGGAGCATGTGCTTTACAAAAGCGTTTAGCAAATCAACATAGGAAGAATGACAGACTAGAAAAATCATAAATTTTCAATCACTAATGCAATCATTTGTTCTGTTAAGGATAAACAATGGAGTTAAAGATTATTGGGAAAAAGAACACTGCACATTCTTAAGGCAGTTCCTCGTGGATTACTGATCATTGAAATACAGGAGAGAACGAGCCTTGACAATATAGATATCTGGCAGCCACTACTTTAAACAAGGCATTTCTTAGGAAACATGTGCTTGAAGAATTCAGAGATGACAACCATGATGTATACAACTTACTTACTTTGGAAATTCAGGAAAAAAAACTTTAAAAGATAATGCAAAATATTAAGAATTAGTGAATCTAGGTGACATCTATATGAGTGGTCAACATTTTCTTTCAACTTTTCTGTAGGTTTTTAATTTTTTTTAAAAGAAAACAACATGAAAAAGTCAAACCAGCAATAACTTTTTTAAAAAAAAATCTGACTCTACACATCTAAGAAAACACTTGGGAGTGAATTGAATGGAGCGAAGGGATTCCAAAGGAAAGATGAGTTCATCTTGAGACATCTTCAGTTTTCAAGGAGACCTAGACAGGAATGCCCAAAAGATCCATTCCTCAGATACAGCTCTACTATCAGCCAATTACATGCACAGGGGTACAGTGATGGAAACAAAGCAAAGCAAACAATGACAGCAACGAAACTAGAAGAGGTCCCTGTCATACATTCCGATGCCAATGAGGAAAACAGTAAACAAGTAAATAAATAAATGAATAATCTTATAAGAGATTACAGATTATAAAAAATAACAAACGGCATGCAAAATTGAACACTGAGTGAGGAAACTAAGGTGGAGGGAGAGATGTTCACCATTTGAAAACTTAGTGTATTTTTAAATTGTCTTATTTTCAAAAACTTGCTGTTCAGAGACATTTTTCCTTTACAATGCAAATTAGTAGACATGGGTCTACTCAACACTAAGGAAGTGTGGCATTTGTGAGTTGTGGGACCATTAATTTTACATGACAAAGTTGTAATTATAAGGGATGCAATTTTTTTTCAAGGCACTTGCCACCTTTGTAGTTATATTTTTTTGAGCATATATCCCTTAGCCTCTCCTGGTATGAGTGTCTTCCTCTTAAAATGAGCATGTTGAACTGAGTTCCCTTCCAGTTCAGAAAGACTGCATTCTGATGAGACTATGCAGAGTTACTTGTATATGATTCACAATTTCCCTTATAAGCAGCACCTCCTTTTCCCTTACCTGGTGACAATCTGAAAAATAATCGTGAGAGCCAGACCAGTAATGGACAGGGCACATCCAATGTTGGACAGTATGTCTAGTGACTCAGGATACTTATAATCCTTTTTGAAAGTCTGAAAGATAAATCGATTAATATTTTAAAATAGCCATCTCCAAAATGTCAATAGAAGTCAATCACAAACAGTTAAGTGGATCAAAGTAATCAGAGTTGCCAGATATCTCTTCTTTTCATACAACCATTGATATATTTTTAAATGAAATAAATTATCCTCTTACATCCAAATAATTTACATGAAGCAGAGACTTGAGAATAATTATCTAGCCAATTCAGTTAGGAGAAATAAACGTATTTTCCCTTTATGTCTAAAGTCAAAGTTGTTTGAATAGATCTAAACTGTCTAGAGTTACATTATCTACCCATTATACCATACTATTTTTGTGTTGCTATCATCCAAACACACCTAAGCTGATGCATTAAAGCTGCAGAAATACTTTCATGAACAAGAAAAGATGCTCATAAAATCTTGTTAATTTTTTAAAAAGGTTAATTTTCATGAAATATAATCTATCCTAGTATATTAGTGAATATGCATAGAAAAATATATTCCATGTGAGTAAGCACTCTTAGAAATCTACAACAGCAGTAACAATAATAAATGAGTGATGGCTAAAAATTCTTTTTGCTTATCTGTACTTGTTGGTTTTTTAAATTGTTAAAATTAAAAAGCCACAGATGCTCATTTGTAAAATATGAAAGTAATACAGAACTATAATAAAAGTATATATGTTCCTTTTATTGACAGCTACCCCACATAATACCCTACCTCTGGAATCCTCTCTTCTTAGCAGTTAACATTTTTATGTGCTTATAAATATTATCTATGTCTCTTGTATAAAAATATAGGGATTTGTTAATATTATAGGATTATGCTTAAATTTTTATTTTAATTTATCATAAACATTATTCCATATTTGTAAAATTCTATTTACTAGGTAAACTTTTATACTTTATGCAGTTGGTATGTATTGCTATTGTAGGAAAAAAATAAACTTTATTTGAAAAAATAAAACAAAGTTTTCATGTTATCATTTGTAGTTTACTAAATAGATGCACAAAGAATCATAGGCTCTGTAGATCTTAAAAATCTTTAGATCTTAAAAATCATCTGTTCACTCAGAGCCTACCCACTTTCATATTAGATTAGACTGCAATTCTAATCAGCTCTTTTTTTTTTTTCACAACCCCAAACCAATTACAAATGTGGGTGGTAGGCACTGAGGCAGAATCAGGTATTAAGGAGAAGAAATAGCTGAAGTGTGATGTCAAAAAAATGGAGAAAGATAATTATTACAAAATATCTTGTATTATTTAATATAGCAACCTGGGCCTTACACAGCTACTCAATGATACTATGAATTTATGAAAATGAAAACGGAAACATTCCATCGAGTATGTAAGTTAACATCATTTCATCAGAATAATTAGTTTCAGGATAATGAACATACAGAAGTCCATCATAAAAGGACCATCCAAGAATTTTCAGAAATGCATATACACTGTACATCATAACTGTTACCAGTTACTTGCACAGGATAGGTTTGGAGTTAAAAGGGTTAGGGAATACACAGAGGAACTACAAGACAAATGGAATGATTTCGAGACTTCCTTTTATATCTTCCAGCCAAAACTTATAACTTGGACAATACCAATGGAAAAAACTTTGGGTAACTAATTTAAACTGCACACATACAACTATGCATTGAAACTGTCCTCAACACACAGCTATTCAGCCTTACCTCTGACCATAACAGCTTCATACTTCAGAACATGGGAATTAGTGGAACAGAGTCTGTCAGCTCCTATTTCACACGTGGGTTCACTTTCCATTCCCAATGCTGAATTCATCTATCTTAAGACCACATTGCTCTCTTTTTGCCTGTTTTCTATTTCAGCATATTCATTGTGTTGAATGTTCATAGCATTATAATTGCTTAGCCAATGAATGATAACATCTGTGACTCATTTATGAAAATCTGCCAAATTCATTTTTCCATTTCCAATATCTGAAGTTTAATAAAAATTTTCAAGCCATTGATGTAATAAAATATGAAACAAACAAACAAAAAGACCACAATGATCTATGTCACTTGCTTTTATCAGCACTTCTCCTTTCAGTCTTAACACTCCATACCCTGATTTTTCTATTTAATCTAAGGTGAGAATCTACATAAGCTAAAACCCAAAGTCAACTCCAAAATTGTGTGTAAGGAAAATTCTCATCTGTTAAGAGATTACAAGGTGCATCCTTACCATCAACACAGCAAAGTTAGTGGTATGGTTGCAGTGGCAGCCCAGGAATCCATCAGTACCCTTGTCTTTGTAACAACCATAGGTATCCCAATCTTTTGTTAAAAAATTCCAGTAAACACAGGCATAGGCATGGAGTTGGTATTCTTTTTTATTGTACTGTGAATTGACAGAACAATTACAATTACTAATATTTTAATGATCAATTAAAAAAAAATCTAACAACAGCCAGACACATTGGCATATGCAAGGCCTGTAATCCCAGTGGCTCTGGAGGTAGAGGCAGGAGGGTTGCAAGTTTAAAGCCAGCCTCAGCAACTTAGCAAGGCTGTAAGTAATATAGAGAGATCCTGTCTCAAAATAAAAATACATAAATAAAAAGGGCTAGGATGTGGTTCACTGTTAAGCACCTCTGGTTCAATCCTTGGTACAAAAAAAAAGATAATTATAACAAAAATCACATATGTATTTAGCATTTTTATTATAGATTGTGGAGGGAAACTATATAAAATTCAAATTACCTAACTTTGCATTTAACTAATTTGATAAAAGATTAGGTGAGAGAAATATTTAAATTAAATGAATACTTTGAAAAATCTTTCAAAAAGATTTTTTGTGGATTTTTTTTAATATTTATGTTTTAGTTGTAGGTGGACACAATACCTTTATTTTATTTTTATGTGGTGCTGAGGATCAAACCCAGGGCCTCGCACATGCTAGGCGAGAACTCTACCACTAAGCCACAACCCCAGCCCCTGTGGATTTTTTTTTAACCAAATTATGCCTGCTTTTGTAATCAAGAGTGGCCTGAATTTTCTATTTTTGTAACCAGGAACACTCACCGTTGGGCTAAAGACCATGTCAACAGAAACAATCTGATCTTGCTCATTTTCATTCACTTTGCTTGAGATAATTTTTTGACTAAAATTTGATTTAGCTGTAAAGGTTTTTGATTGAAAAAGCTTATTGTTTTGATATAGTACAAAGCCACATGCCTTAGTACCTGTGGGAGAGACAATAAAAACATAAACAAACTGTAGGGCAAACAAGAAACAAAATTCCATGTCATTGCTGAACTGCATGATTACTTAATATGTGAGTCAGGTATAGTGGACCCAGTTGCAGTCTGAGCCTTTATTTAATTGCAATATATTATTGTGATATTATGATATACACATTTTGGTTGTCATCCATGGTTCCTGGCTCTTAACTTCCTATCCAAGACAGGCATAGAAACTAGAATTTTCTGTTCCCAAGATGAGTCATATAAATGCTAGTTTTCCTCCACCTTTCTATCTCAGAGCTGGCCATCAAGAAATTCTCTGACCTACTTGATCTGATAGATCATAAGACCCCCATTTCAGAGAGAGTCCTGCTCCAAACCCAAGAAGAAAGGAATGCTGCCCAGAGAGCCAAGAGGAATCTGAACAGACAGACCTCCCTGGGTCTATTAGTATTAGATCCTGGACATTCACATCTCTATGCAGTTGCTCACACTTCAATAATGCCTATGCAATTCCTTACATCTACTCTACGATCTTTCTTCTATTTTGATGAAATTCCCTCTCCCCCTTTTTTTCTTTCCTTCTCTCTTTTTTTTTTCTTTACTTCCCTTACCCCTTATTTTGGATTATTATTATTTGGATTAGTTTCCACATGTCACAGAAAACATTTGATCTTTGACTTTGAGGGACTATCTTATTTCACTCAACATGATAGTCTCTAGTTTCATCCATTTACCAAAAAATGCCATAATGTCATTCTTCTTTATGCTAAATAATACTCCACTGTGCATACGTGTCACATTTTCTTTATCCACTCATCTGTTGGGGCACCTACATTGGTTCCATAGCTTGGTTATTGTGAATTGTACTGCTATGAACACTGATGTGGCTGCAATACTGTAGTATACTGATTTTAGATCTTCTGGATATATACCAAGGAGTGGTGTAGCTGGGTCACATGAGGGTTCCATTCCTAGTTTTTTGAGGAATCTCCACATGCTTTTTAGAGTGGTTGCACCAATTTCAAGTTCTGCCAAAATTTTAATTATTATTGTTGGATAAACATATATCGGCAGCAGCACCCCAGAGAAAAACCCCAGCATGGCGTCTAATGACCAATGTTCAAACCCTGCTGGTGGGAAGCCTTAGCGCCAATTAGAATTAACTTCTTGGGCTCCGGAACTGACATCTGGAAGAGCTTGCCAATAAACGGGCGACCTTTTTATCTATCTCAGCCCTGTGACCTCTCCTTAGGCTTATAGAAACACACAGCCTTTTGTAATAAAGCGGAAACCTCTTTGGTGATCTGTGTCATGTGGTGCAGCGTCTTCCAGTCTTACAATTATTATTTGCCATTATGACTGGTATGAGATGAAATGTCAATGTAGATTTCTTTCATTGCTAGAGATGTTGAAATTTTTTTTTTCATATATTTGTTGTTGCAATGCAAAGGTGGCCATGAGACCAGTCTGTTCAGCCATGTGATTTGAGTGGGAGCCCAGCAAGGTGTGCTCCTCTGCCTGCCATGTTGTCCTAGCCTCGTCTTGGAAAGAAACACGTGGGTTTCCTTTTGCATGGCACATTGACTCTCACTAAATTGTTCTTCATGGACACTTGATGACACAGTGTACCCTAATAATACAATGTTATGGCGTACTTGGCATGAAATTTAAAAAAAGTTAAAATCAAAAACTCTAAGTAACCCAATCAATAAATGGGAAAAGGACTAAACAGACCCTTCCTTCTCAAAGGAAGAAGTACAAATGGTCAACAAACAACAAGAAGGGACAGAAAAAAGTAAAAAGCAATGGAAGGAATCCGAGTGAACTTTCATATGCGCATGCATCGATGTGGCAGGGTGGGTCCCAGCATCAGGTATATCCACCGGGCACTAATTAAGAAAAAAAAAAGTAAAAGGTAAATACATTGAAAATCAACCAGAGGGTAAACACTGGGGACTGAATTGGAGAGGGTTATGTCCCTTGTTTTTGTGATAATGTCAGGTTATATCCTGGTGTTGTACATAACTAAAAAGAATTTTAAAAATAAACAAATGAGAGTCCCTATTCACCTTTTTCCTCAATCCTACAAGAATTTATGAGATAGTCGTTGTTTTCATAGATACTCAGATTCATTAGGAAAAATAACATTTATGCTTATCTCGTAATTCTAAAAAATCTCCACAATTTTAGATATTCTTTTTTCATGTTTTCCTCCTCTCTCTTTCTCTCTCTCTTCTCCCTTCTTTGATCAACTTTATCAGAGCTTGTTTATTTTATTAGTCTTTTCTTGTAATCAATTTTTCATTTTGTTGACCAAGTCAAACATTTGCTAACTTCTATTTTTCTTCATTTCTTTATTTTGTTCACTTCCTATAGATTGTGATAGATCATTTCCATTAATTTTCCAGTAACCTGCAATCCATATTTTAATTTCCTCTCTAGTGATGATGTTTTTTGTTTTTTTTTAAATATTTATTTTTAGTTCTCGGCGGACACAACATCTTTGTTGGTATGTGGTGCTGAGGATCGAACCCGGGCCGCACGCATGCCAGGCGAGTGCGCTACCACTTGAGCCACATCTCCAGCCCTAGTGATGATGTTTTAAGCGTTCTAATTGGATCTAATTTGTGTTACTCTTTATAGTTCATTTCTAGTTTTCTTGCATTGTAATCATATATAATGTGTTATGTAACTTATTTTATAAAATATACAAGTTTTTTTTGTAATCTAATAAATGGTCATGTTTTGAAGGACTCTCTAGACACTTAGTAATTTTTGTTACCTGTTTTCTCTCTAAAAATAAAGTTAAACATACATGGAAATATATTAAATTATTGAGATTGCTCTCTTTTTTGGTCTACTTGATTTTCAGTTTGTAGGATAATTGCACTAAATTTTCTCCTTACAATAGTGTTTTGGCAAATTCAAGCTGTTTTTTAATAATTTTTGTTTTTTTACCTTTTAATTTTTTTTAGGGAGGTAAAGAATTAAAATGTAGATATTTTGGGAAATTGGTATTTTTAATCAGAATAAAATACATTTAGAGTGGATGGGGAAATATTGGTCAAAGGATACAAAATTTCAGTAAGAAAAGAAGAATAAGTTTAAGAGATCTATTGTACAATATGGTGACTATAGTTAATAAAAGTGTATTATATACTAGACAAATGCTAAGAGAGTAGAAGTGAAGCATTCTCACCACAAAATTGACAATTATATGAGGTTATACATATGTTAATTAATTGGATTTGATTGTTCTACAATGATACCTACTTCAAAACATGTTGTAAGAGTACACACAACTTACCTGCAAAAATTTTGAAATGTTCCTTTCAACTCAATCCCCAGATTCTTTTAATTTTTTTCCTCCAGTACCATGGATTGAACCCAAGGGCACTTAATCACTGAGCTGCATCCCTAGTCCTTTTAAATTTTTGTTTTAAAATATTGGGACAGGGTCTCACTAAGTTGCTTAGGGTCTCAATAAGTTGCTGACGCTGACTTTGAACATGTGGTCCTCCTGCCTCAGCCTCCTGAGCCTCTTTTAAATTTTTAACTTATTCAACTATATTCCTTATTTGTATGGAATAAAAAATTAGATTTCCATCTTTCACCAAACACAAAAATAAATTCTAGGTACACTGAAGACTTAAACATAAATATAAACACTAAAAATATTCAGGATAAAAAGGAAACTGCAATAGTGACAATAGAATGGGAAAAAATTTTTCTTTGAAAAAGACAAAAGACTAAGGATATAGCTCAGTGGTAGAGTGCTTACCTAGCATGCACAAGGCCCTGGGTTCAATTCCCAGCACCACAAAACAAACAGAAAACACAGAGTACACATCATAGAGGAATAGATTGATGTATTGATACATTATAAATTAAAATATTGATATGGTGAAGGACACACACACACACACACACACACACACAAATCTCAAAGAATTAGTATTCAGAAACCATAAAGAATTTCTAACAACCAAAAAATTTCAAAACAAATAGAATTCAAATGAAAAATAATCATACTAATAGTCACAGAATAGGAAATCTGAATGTTTGACAAACATTTGGAAATATGCTCAGATCAAGGAACAGAAGAAAACATGTGATTGTCAAGCAAAAGTGACTCCATTTTGTTTTGTAACTCCATTTTGTAAAACAACCACGCCAAGTAGAAGAGTCATGACCAGGGCAAGATGTTCTTTTCCTTTTGCTATAGAAACCTTTAAGAACACGGAACTACCTAATGGGGCATTGTTTCTGTATCTAGGGTAACCGAGCTCTGTTTCTGTAACTGGGGTGACTGGGCTAACTGTGATTGGCTAAACATCCCTCTGCCTGACTGCACTGTCCCGCTTCTGTAACCTGGCTTGCTTACATTGGCTAGACCCCCAAACGTCCCTTTTGGGGTTTTCAGGCTTATAAGGAGTGCCCTTGCAATTGTTCAGGGCTGATCAGGGGAACAGCTTTGTGTTCTGGTCAGTCGCCACCTGTGTGCTTCAATAAAGGCTTGAATTGGATAATATGTGAGTGGTCTGGAAGTCAATTTATGAAACCCCAGGACGATGCTTTAATTATAACAAACATACCATTGAACTTTCAAGCTGCAAAAAGAAAATAACAGTATCTATTTTACATTTATCATATAGGCAAAGTTAATAAACTTGCTAACACATACATGGATTGAGTTCCAAAAAAAGGTAGCAAGTTTAAGAAAGTGGGGCTGGGGCTATGGTTCAGTGGCAGAGTGCTTGCCTAGCACTTGTGAGGCACTGGCAGTGTTCCATCCTTAGCACCACATAAAAATAAACAAATAATATAAAGGCATCTACAACTACACAATTTTTTTTTTAGTTTTAAGAAAGCAAGATCCATACAACATAATACCATTTATGTAAATATTAAAACATCTCCAATAGTAAGAGATATCACTTATTTATCCAAAAACATGCAGCAAACATTTGAAGACAACCATGAAAATGATATGTACCAATTTCAAGGAGATGTAATTTGTGGGAAGGAGAGAGAAGAAGGAGCAAGGTAGAGGATGATAATACCTTTTCTTTTTCTTTCTTTCTTTTTTCTCTTCTTTTTTTTTTTTAAGGTCTGAAACAAATACAGTTGGCCATCCATATCTGAGCTTCTATATCCTTGGATTCAACCAACCACAGATTTGAAAATATAGAGATTTTACAGAGGAAATACTAAGGAATGATATTTGCCAAATTATTTTTATTATATTGTGTGCATATACAAATATGTAATAATAAATCCTACCATTATGTTGTAATTATAATGCACCAATAAAAAATGTTGAAGAAAAACCTGCCAAACTAGGAAAAAAAATCTATTTAAAATTGCATCAGACTTTCTTTTTTTTTTTAGTCAAACACCACAGTATAACAGCTATTTACATAGAATTTACATTGTATTAATTTGGAGATGATTTAAAGCATACAAGAGGATACAGGTAGAGTACATGCAAATACTCTACACCATTCTGTAGAAGGGACTTGAGCGTCCCAGATCTTGGTATCCTGAGGGAATCCTAAAACCAATTCTGCACAGACACTGAGGGATGACTCTGTTTACCTTGCTGAACGGTACATAGGTGCTTCTTATGTTATTTTCTGCACTTTTATGTACGCATGAAATATTTTAAATTTGAATAAGAAACACAAAAAACAGAAGACTTAAATTTAGCTTCTACCCTCATAAACATAAGGGCCAAAGAAAATGGGAGCAAAATTATAATTCAGCATGCCAGATTCACAAAACAATACTTTTGCCCTTTTCAGTTCTATTAAGAATATATTCTTTTTAAAATATGTACTTTGGGGAAATATATATATATATATATATATATATATATATATATATATATATAGAGAGAGAGAGAGAGAGAGAGAGAGAGAGAGAAAGAGAAAAGAAAGGCAAATGTATGTTTTATTCACTTTATTTATTTATTAAATTTTGAAGAATACAACCCTTTCTAGTTCTTGAAAGGCCATGTGCAAAATGGTGGGGAGACCATGGACAGCAGCACTAAGAGGGGATAACCTAAAACTGATATTATTGAGTGAAAGTCATGCCAATTACAAAACCGTTTTAAAGGTAGGTCTGCAGGATGAGCCTGATCCTGTGAGTGTTATGCCACCAGTAAATACAGGCAGAGCTTATGACTGAATATTTGTAAAATATATGAATGTAAAACAAAACCAGTTCAGAGAGATTTTTGTAGCAATTCAGATTTATGTGCATGGCCCGAGCAGTTCAATTTTGCTACCCTCCAAAAAAGTTTTTGAAAACAAAACAACAGCAAAAATATCTCTGTGACCTAGAATACTAGAATTGAGATCATTGTATCAGAATACAAACATACTCAAATGAAAATACTAAGTGTGAAACTAAGGAAACATCATTTCTCCCTCAGTGGAGTTTAACCTATTAATTCCATGAACTTGAGTATTTTTTTTTAATGTAACAAAGTTTGAGACTTACTTTTGTTGGTAGTGAGCAAGATCTGAAGTTGAGTGTGTCCATCTGGATCAAGTCTGTCCACATTTGTATCTACAGATGTTGAGGAAGAAACTAGAGACTCACTTGATCCTATGAAGAAAAAAGTAGAATTTTAAAATAGAGCATTAATCATGATTGGCATCAGAGTAGTCTTTGCTATTACAAGGACAGGAGAAAAGCAGCTTACCTCTGGACACTGAGTAGCGAATTTTTGTAGACCCCTCAGAGCCTTCTAGATTAACTGACTGTATTGCTACATTAGGTTCCATAACTGACTCATTGCCCAAAGTCAAGGAATAATTCTCCATTTGCTCAATAAGCCTGCACAGAATGAAACATAGCAACTTAATATTCTAGAGATTTTGTCATAACATCAGATGTGTGTTGTCTCTCACATTATAGCAGAAAAAATAAGCACAGAATGCACATAATCACAACGACTTTGTCACCCATCTAAAAATAACTGCTTTTCTTCAAATGGTCTTGCTTTTCTATATATACTTTTTAAAAATGTTCTGGTAGACTGCACCCAGTGAAGGTAACTTAGACCTAGATGCCAGAAATCTAGAACTTAATAATTACAGAGTCCCCAGTAGAATCAGTCTTTCATTACAATGCCACACTTCACATAGTGGAATGGGGCTACCACCCAACATTGCCCAAGCATGAACTTCTAGTTGTTTCTGTGGTAGTCAGAATCAACTTCCATTTATTTATGTCCCTATTCTCACCCAAGTGCCCCTGGGATCCTAAGCATCTCTTCTAAGTTGTTGGTGGTTGATAGTTTCAAATGAAACCACAAAAGATTGGACCCTCGCTCTCTCTGCTTCGACTATGTACTACACACTGAGATTTTTGCAATGTTCTTTTCTATCCTGGCTAAACCCCATTCCAAATGTTTTCCCTTCATCACTCCATTTTATGAATTTTCTGCAATTCACACTGTGTATTTCCCATTTGGTGATTAATAGTCATAGCCCAGAACTGCTTTCTCTAGGAGGAACTAATGACTCCAATCTGTGAAGAACATCATTTGAGCAACCAAATAGCTTCTGTTGAGTTCCCACTAACAAGTGCTGCGAAACATTCAGAGTACCAGGAGGAGCACCCTCTGGCTTACACAGGATAAAGGGAAAGAAAGATGTCCTAAACATATCCGGGTTTTTACTCTATGTTCATAAACACATTCACAGAGTTGCTCTTCTCACAGCTACTTCTTGGACCATTTTTTCTCTACCACATGATTTACCATACCCTTCTTGTCATAATTTATTAGGTTCAACATGGCCCCTGAATACAGTCCAATCCAGAGACTGGCCACAAACTAAAAGAAGGCATCAGATTCTTTCTTTTGGGAATTTTCTAGTTAGAGTAGCAGTTTTATCAGGATGATTTAGAGAAAGTAAGACAAGTCATTATATCACTGTGAGGACAAATACAAGTTCAAAATAAAATATTTAGGAATCAATCTAACAAAAGAGGTGAAAGACCTCTACAATGAAAATTACTACAGAACCCTAAAGAAAAAAATTGAAGAAGACCTTAGTAGATGGAAAGATCTCCCATGCTCTTGGATAGGCAGAATTATCTTTATCAAAATGGCCATACTACCAAAAGCACTATACAGATTTAATGCAATTCCTATTAAAATTCTAATGACATTATACAAATAGAAAGAGCAATCATGAAATTCATTTGGAAAAATAAGAGACCCAGAATAGCCAAAGCAACCCTTAGCAAGAAAAGTGAAAAGTGAAGCAAGAGGCATCATAGACCAGACCTTAAGTTTTACTATAGAGCTATAGTTAAAAAACAAACAAACAAACAAAAAAAAAACCGCATGGTGTTGGCACAAAAAATAGAAACAAAGACCAATGGCACAGAATAGAGGACAGACAGAGACAAACCCACATAAATATACTTATCTCATACTGGACAAGGTGGAATAAACATTAGAGAAAAGATATCCTCAACAAATGGTGCTGGGAAAATTAGAAATCCATATTTAACAAAATGGAATTAAACCCCTATCTCTCACTCTGCATAAAACTGAACTCAAAATGGATCTAGGACCTAGGCATTAAACCAGAGACCCTGCCCCTAACAGAAGGAAAAGTAGGCCTAAATCTTCATCACATTGGCATAGGAACTAACTTCCTTAACAAAACTTCTAAAATACAAGAAGTAAAACCAAGAATCAATAAATTAGATGGAATCAAACTAAAAAGCTTCTTCACAGCAAAGGAAACAATCAAGAACATGAAGAGAGAACCTACAGAATGGAAGAAAATCTTTACCATATACACCTCATATAGAACATTAATCTCTAGGATATATAAAGAACTCAAAAAACTCCAAATAACCCAATCAATAAATGTGCCAAAGAACTGAACAGACACTTCTCAGAAGAAGACATACAATCAATCAGCAAATATATGAAAAAGTGTTCAACTTCTCTAGCAATTAGAGAAGGGCAAATCAAAACTACTCTAGGATTTCATCTCACTTCAGTCAGAACGAAAGCTATTGAGAATACAAACAACAATAAATGTTGACAAGGATGTAGGGGAAAAAGGCACACTCATACATTGCTGGTGGTACTGCAAATTGGTGCAGCCAATATGGAAAGCAGTATGGAGAATCCTTGGAAAACTGGGAATGGAACCACCATTTGACCCAGCTATTTCTCTCCTCAGTCAATACCCAAAGGAATTAAAAATAGCATACTATAAGGACACAGCCACATTAATGTTTATAGCAGCAAAACTCACAATAGTTAAACTGTGGAACCAACCTAGATGCCCTTCAGTAGATGAATGGATAAAGAAAATGTGGTATATATACACAATGGATTACTCAGCATTAAAAGAGAATAAAAATTTTGGCATTTGCAGGAAAATGGATGGAGACGGAGAATACAATGCTAAGTGAAATTAGCCAATCCCAAAAAACCAAATGCCGAATAAGTTCTCTGATTTAAGGATGCTGATCCATAATATGCTGCATGGGGTTGGGGGTGGTAATGGGCGGATTAAATGAACTCTAGATAGAACAAAGGGGAAAAAGAGAGGGGGGGGAAGTGAGGGGACAAAGGGGCAGGAAAGACGGTAGAATTCGATGGTCATCATTATCCTAAGTACACTAGGATAATGTACTTTGTGTACAACCAGAGATATGAAAAATTGTGTTCTATATGTGTAATATGAATTGTAATGCATTCTGTTGTCATATGTAACAAATTAAAATTTTTAAAAAAATATACTGAGTCCCAGTGAGGATCTTTATGAATAAAGCACGTGAGTTTTAGCACAAATATAGAACCCAGAATAATCCAGAACATAGTTATCAAGAACATACAAAGCAAGTATAGTTGGATTCTTCTTCTTTTTTTTTTCAATATAGCCTTGGAAAGCTAAATAAAGTTTAATTAAAATATACCAGGGTATTGGAAGAGAGCACTGAGGTATAGGATGGGGGCTGGCTGTGTATCCTGCAAATGATGTAAGTTGACTGCCCTCTGCAGCTCTGTACCTGGAGAACAGAGTTGGAAGAGCTCCTGCAATGGGTGGAGGTTACCCCTTGACCATGACCATGATAAACTAAAGCCAAGGAAACAAGTTCTAATCTATATCATCCCAGTCACTATCTCCAGGATGTAGCATTTACCACTCTAGGTAGTAACCAGATCAAGGGGAAAGCCAAGGATTCTGTGTGCATTTCAGATAAATCAGTCATTTGCTGCATTCATGAGAGAAATAGACACCTCTATTTATGCTTCATCCTAGAAAGCTAAATGGCACTTTGTCAAGTTTTCTTTCCAATTGAGATTGTGCTTACGTTGTAAAGGCATTGTCATTGTCAATAGCAGCAGCTCTTTGAAAAGCATCTTCACTGGCATCCAGAAGTTGACTCACTGTTGTTACAGCAACTTTCTTTGCCTGCCAAGGAGAGAAGGCACTTATGATCACAGAAGACACCTCATACATTATCATCACCATCATGATGGTGAATTATTATGTAGCAAGTAGCATCTTTGTATGGTAAGAGGCAAGGATATTTTTTTCAAAATTAAAATTTTAGTTTTTGACCTATGTAAATGACAGAGAGACTCAAGACAAGGAAATGTTAAGGATGCTGATCCATAATAAGCTGCAAGGGGTGGGGGTGAAAATATAAATTAAGATAATGAATTAGGAGGCTTAAGTCTCTAAATATGATCTCTTAACATGATACTTCATAGAACCCTATCCCATTCCTAAGAACTCAAATGCAAATGCTTGGATACAAAAGCAGAAACAAAATAAGAAGAGTTCAGGGCTCTGATTGTTAATATATTCCAGCCCAGAATATCACTTATCAGTATCACTTACTAGTTATATAAGCTATCAGGCTTAGTAAGATTCTTTGTATTTTTTTACAATAAAAAACTCAGGAGTATGTCAGAGAGATGATCTCTTGGCATTTGATTACTATTTAATTGACTATTTTTACTAGTTAATCTTTCTATAAATTCTAAATTTTGTAGTCAATAGTCTTATTTTAATTAATTTGTGACTTGAATTCCACCTACCTTCTAAAGGACCTAGTGTAACTTTAAAAAACTTTTTTTGAAATAAGACATTTAAAGGGAATGGAAGAAAGGAGCTACGCCCATATTCCATGGGCAAGTACTGGGTTAATATGTATTGGTGGTTTATAACACTACCAATTCTCAAACTCTACCAACTGATAAATGTTGAGTATGTGTCTTGTTTTTAGGTATCAGAGTTTACCAGGTTGTCATACCACAAATGTAAACTAGGCTTCAAGTTTCCAGAAAGGCTAGACTAAAAAGCAATTATGCTTATCACAAAGGAATCAGGGTTTAAAAGTATGTTCCAGAGTGAGTTCTCTGGAATGAGAGAGAGATGTTGAGGTCAAATGCAATTGGTAAACAAATTAATAAAGTAACAGAGACTTGTTCATGTCAGGATTTTCTGGAAGATTTAGCATAATAATGATCATTATAATTATCCCAAAGGAAGATATTTGCACAAGGACCCTTTTTAAATTTCTTTGAACATCCTTTAGAAATAGTAATCTACAAAATGATCTTAAGCAAAATTAACCTAGCCCAAATCATACCATGATATGAGGAGTAGAATTTGGTATGTCTTTCTACTGTCCCCCCCCCCACCAGCTTATTTTATTAAAGTCTCCAGTTTTACCTCAGGTTCAGCCTTTCTGGATGCATTGAAGATTTGTCCAACCACTTTAGTAGCAGAAGTGATGTTCTCAGCAGTTAATTTACTGGCATCAGATGTTAAAACCTGGGCTTCAGCAGAAATATTCTTAGAGTCCACTGTGATATTGACTATCTGTTTACAAATTAAGCAAAAAAAAAAATACCTAGCTTTATACAATTATATCTAAACACTTTGCAAGCAATTGTAGACCAACAAGCTGAAATTTGGCTGAGCCTCAATCTCCTGAACATCAATTCCACCCAGCCATTTTCATGTTTGGTTCTTTCCTTGTGTAAAGAACACAGCACATGCAGACCACAGTCTTTACTGGTTGCAAGGATTGATTAACTATAACACGTATGCCTTAGCAAGAGTAGAGCAACTCCAGTATCTCCAAGGACCAATGCAGGTTCACTACTACCTGTTACAAAGTCCATAGATAGATGAGCACAAAAACTGAGAGTGAGTGATCAGAAATTCATGTAATTATTTTATGTGGCTGATAATAGAATAACAAATAATTTTAAAATTGGGTTTGCTTTTATGTATATTCATTTTGTTTTTCTATTATTGTATTTTACAAAATTATTGGTCAGCAATGGGTTGGAAGTTTTTTTAAGCTGGCTTTTCAGCACAGTTTGGGAAGCACTGGCCTACTCGACCTCTCCAGGTACCAATTGGCCCCAAGGCTCTGTGCTGTGAGGCTGAAACATGCTAATCTGTACTGTCAGTAGCGGAAGCTCAGTGTCACAGTGTTGGAGAGGGCTTAGTTTTCCACTAGATGGCAGCATCATTTAAAAAAAAAATCAAACCAACTGTTACAGGCAATTCACAGTCAGAAATAATATCCAATCAGGAGACAAAAACAGATAACTGTTTCATTCTATACCCAGGTCCCTGCTATGTGTGAGATAGGCACTTTGCTAGATATTTTAGAGGTGTTATCATATGTAATAGAAATACAACATTGTAAGGTTCAGAGAGGTTAAGGAGCTCAACCAAAGCTCACCCATACAGCTTGGAAATGGCAGAGTCAAGAATTATGCACTGGCTTGTCAGACTTCAGATTCTGCAGTCTTTCTTATACTCTGTATGATTGGCAGACACTTACACAACCAAACTCCCTTCCCCAACCCACCCACACCTGCTTTTCTGTGGTTAGGGAGTCAGGGCAGCATAGTGTGGATTTTAAAATTGAGATCTATGGTCACTGGGCAAAACATTTCACCCCTCAGAGTCATATTTTCCTCTTCTACAAAATCAGTACACTAATACTTATCTGTAGTGTTATAATGTTATGTATGATTTTTAAAAACTATTAACATATGCAAAATGTTCATCACAGTACAGACAGATAGTCCCCAACTCATCATGGTTTGACTTAAGACTTTTTGACTTTACAACGGTGTGAAAGCAATACATATTCAGTAGAAATTGTACTTTGAATTTTGAATTTTTATTTTTTACCAGGATAGTGATATGTGATACACCATTCTCTCAGGATGCTGGACAGCAGCAGTAAACCACAGCTCCCAGTCAGCTACATGATGAGGATTAACAGCCAATAAAGTCCGACAATGATGGCGTTGGGTAGGCTTGGTGGGGTAACTGCATCTGTAGTTTATATTTTCAACTTACAATGAATTTATTAGGATGTAACCCAATCATAAGTCCAGGAGTATCTGTGCTTGGCATAAGTGTTCATCAATTAGCTAGTGCTATTACCTGCAATTGTTTGTAATATGAGAATAACATTCGCCTCACAGAAGTTTGATGAGAATTAAATTATATATGTATGATTTTATATATGTATAACGCCTGGCACATGAAAGAACCGACATAAAAGTACATTTCTTCTCCCCACACCCCTTGCTTAAACCTTAGTGTTAGCTCTTCCGTGTGTTGCATTTGCCTACACCCTTCATTAAAATAATTTAATCTGTATGAAAACATAGCTAGTCTGATGCAATTCCCATCCACCTGCTCATGATCACAGTCCAAGATCAGCATTACTGTCTCAGCGGGTCTTGGGTTATAGTTTTTTTCCCTATTCATTCTGATCCAGCAAACCACCCAAATATCTCACTTTGGTCACAAATGTTAGGTATCTATTTTCAGTCAAAATGTCACTGGTCTCTAAAAATACGTCCTTTTAGAATGTGGAATGGGTTATCATCTGCTGGAATTTGCCAAAGCAATAAGTTCAATTCCTCTTTCCACAAATAGATGTCAACTTTAAACAAATAAGAGTGATTTTAGGTACTAGTTTTGTTATTTCTGTTTTATGAGTATGGGAAACACAGATTTGACCATCAAGTATCTGAAAAACAAAGATTTTGCCCAGCATCAGAACTTTCAGTTGCCCATCAGATGGGCCCTGGGGCATACCTGATTTTCCAGGGTTTCCAGATTTTCATTGCAGTTTCCTATTGTGGCATTTTGTAATTCTATCTCTCCATATATAGACACATTGCACAGGCGGGTTGCTATTGGAGAGCCGGCTTTAATTAAAAAAAAAAAAAAAGAAGAAGAAGAAGAAAAAGACATGGTCTGTAAAAAATGTGCACAGCAGCTACTGTCCTGTTCACATGTTCCATCCCAATGTGACTCTACTGGTCTTCCCATCAAAGAGTGGACTAGATTCCTATATTTCCAGAATCCTGGCTGACCTGGAAATTACTTTAAATAGTAGAAAGTAAGGATTTCAGAGCCTAGACTTAAAAAAGCCTTAAAGTTTCAGCCTTCATCCTCTTAGAATGCTGTCCTGGGACTATTATGTAAGAGGAAGCAGGAGTGACCTACTGGAAGACAGACCTGGCGGAGCAGAACTGAGGTGCTTGAGCCAACAGCCAGCACCCACATCCTGGATACATGAGCAAAGCTATGTTAGACTTTCCAGCCCAGCCTAGCTGCCACAGGCAATGTACAGAACTGTGAGAAATCTAAACAATTATTGTTTCTGGCCAATAAGTTTGGGATGACCTAATACATAGCATAGAAAAGTAAGTTAGTCTCTACAACGGTATTTCAGGTAAATATCACTTGTCTTGCTTTTTAAATCTGGAGTTCAAAAGACCAGTTGACTATTTATTTCCTTTGATGTTTGCTAGGAAGATTTACCTTCTAACAATCAGGGGCAAAATGCCTTTGAATTATTTGGTTTTTTGTTTTTTGTTTTTAAAGAGAGAGTGAAAGAGAGAGGAAGAGAGAATTTTTTAGTGTTTATTTTTTAGTGTTCAGCGGACACAACATCTTTGTTTGTATGTGGTGCTGAGGATCGAACCCGGGCCGGATGCGTGCCAGGAGAGTGCGCTACTGCTTGAGCCACATCCCCAGCTTGAATTATTTGTTGATCTTTTCTTCTTTATGCAAATCTGGGTAACTCATAAAAGGCATATTTCTATTGTACTGCAGCACCTGTTAGATGTTTTGTTAGTTCTTAAGTGCTTCCTAAGTGATTTGGTTTATTTCCTGAGATAATCACCTAAGCCTCTCTACCTCACTGTCCTATGGTTAATACTTAAGTAGCTGCCATAGATACAATCATTAAAGGAAGAGATGATCAGAATTTTTCCTCAGGACCAGTTTTGAGCAACTTCTTCTTGGGGCATAACTAGAAATACTGAATTTAGATATTACTTCAACAACATTTAAGATAGAAGGTTGGAGTCACTCCTAATTTATATGATGTCTCCACCTCTACTATATGACATATGACAATTTCTAAAAAACATACAGGATGTAAATAACTTTTAAGTGTCCACATGTCAAGTGCACCTTTCCTCAGTATTACCTACAATTATAAATAGCCCTACCCCCAAATCATTGAAATATATTGTGGTGACTTCCTATTAAAAAATTAATTAATTAGAAGCAATGCTTTTCTTTCTTTTTTTTTTTTTTGTAGCTGTAGATGAAGAGCATGCCTTTATTTTATTTGTTTTTTTTTTTAATTTTTTATATGGTACTCAGGATCGAACCCAGAGTCTCATACATGCTAGGCAAGTATTCTGCCACTAATATACAGCTCAGCCCTAGAAGCAATTCTTATTATGAAAATAAAAGCAAATTAAAAATGTGTATCTTTAAAATTATATAATGGACTTGATCTGAAATTCGAAGGTAAATATAATAAGCATATTTTCATAATAGTTGCTCAGAAAATAAATAACCCAATGAAAAATGTTAATTCTCTTCTCTCAAAAAAGTTATATATATCAAACAACCGTAATAACCTCCATGGATACATTACTGACACTTTTACTTTTCCTAATTCATAGCACACAATTATGCTTTGTAGGTTGCATCTGTTTTATAAATCATTATGTAATACTTAAGATATATAAAATATATAAAAATTAGACAACAAGTACCCATAGCCCATAGACACACCACATAGTATAATATGGCATACATAGTATGTATGGTAAGTGACAAAGCAACCCAAGTCCCTTTTTACTTTCTGAGTTCTTAATGAAGAAGCTAGAAGGACCCATGTCAAGAGTAAAGTCAGGAATACTAGAGGAATCATGAAATATGTGAGCAAAACAATTTGGATTCTGAAAATAAAATGCAGAGCTACATAATCACTTAGATTAAATAATGTAAAGAAACAATAGGAAAGAACAATTCAAGTAATTCACTTAGTTTTTCCAAGAGCCCTTGATATGCACAAATGTTTAAGAAAAATGTGCAATTCTTCTCAAGGTTGTTACTGACAGTGGTTCTATCAAATATTTTTGTGAATTATCTAGAATTGGCTGTATTCTTGGGGTATCTGGTCCTCCTGGAAATGTGGGATTACCTGTAAGATTGAGAAGATAAAACTCAATGCAAACGAGGGACAGGAAAACATTTAGGGACAATTATGACAAAGTAGGCACACTATTAAGAAAAGGATCCATGGATTTCTAAAGGCTATGCCCAATGTGGCATTGAAATAAAACAATCATCAATATCCAGGATGTTATCAGGGATTGAAAAGGGAAAATATTATTTGCTCCTTTACTCAGAATGCCACTATGAAAATAAGTTTGTCGTGTTCAAGAAAGATATGATGAGCTAGAGAGTATTCCAAGATAGATAACTGAAATGATCAAGGAGATGAAGGCCTGCTGACTACAGATAGACTTAATTACTTCTCTACCTGGAAAGTTGCAGTCCGAAAGTGGATTTAGTGTAAGTCTATAATCTAGACTAATTCTTTTAAATTGAGACAAACTAGTTCAAAATGAAAATGTTCACCCGATCAAACTCTAGGAGACAGAGTGAGCTGGACAGTCCTATTAAGTAAGCATTAAGAGGAATTTTCAAACAAACAATCCATATTAAGGATTTTAGAAAAATTACAATTATGTGAAGAACCACACAAACTTTGAACATTGACATCATAAAAGGGGACTAGGCCTTTCTTGATACCTCTTCCAGAGTTTTAAGACTAGTTGGTGAGATGGTAGGTATGACTCAACATAGAGAATATTATGCCCAAAGAAAGAAAATTTTTAGAAAATACATACCATTTAAAGTGTTCTTGCCACATGTTTCCAAAGAAGTTCCATACCTGCCCACTGGAATTCTGGCAAAAGTAAAATTCATATAGGTACTATTTTCACAGAAATTAGCTGTAATGGAAAGAAATTTTTTCATTAAAAATTATACTTCTCCTTTTCAAATTTGAACCCAGATAAAAGTCAAAGTTCAGAACCAATATAATGTATTTGAAAGGTAATAGAATCCACTCGTCTTTTCTATCTGGTTAACTTTCTACCATTAGAGTAGCTAACCTGTTAGATAACAGATTCCAGCGTACAACATACATACCTAGGTAGAAGTAGAAGGTGAGCAATAATATACTAGCAAGGATAGTGTATATGAAATGAGTTAGAATCTTGAAAATTTAAAATATGCAGCTTACAGTGATAAGGGCCATAATGAGGATGTGGGTCAAAGCAGAAAGATGTATGAGACGTACTGGCTGGTAGGAATAAAAGAAATGATAGGAAGGGGTGTGTAGGGCTCTGGATCCCAAGCAGGCAGCATAAAGTGTGAAGAGTGTAAAGTACACTTCAGATCAAGAAACAGCCTTGAACTTAGATAGTGAGACACTACTGATTGCAATAAAACCACTATATCAATAACTCTTTAAGGAAAAGGAAGAAAAGACAAGAACTTCATTTAAGTATATGGGTAGTAGATAGGGAGATGCATCTCAATTTCAGAAAAATTAAACATGTTAAAAATGTGATATTTTAAATAGGATAACATGGCATATCTGCAATTGAAAGGACCTGAGGGAACCATATGGCCAATTGCCCTAAATTTGAAGGAGACACACCTGTGAGTTTAATAGAGAAAATTGACATCAATAAATGGACAAGGTGTATTGATTACATGGTTAAATCGAACTAGAGGGAAATTTGCCTTTGACTCTTGAGTTATTAAACACATCTTAAAGCCATCACCATTGTGCCCATTTACTGGCATTATGTCCATTAATTATAATTGATAATTGAAGTTTCCAGAAGTGTTGCTGAAGTTCTCATTAACACAAGGATGACCTAATCCCACCCTAGTATTGTCTCAAGTAACTTACCGATGGTACATCTCAGTCCCTTCCACTCTTCTGTACAAATGCATCTGCCGTTATCCCAGGTTCCACCATTCCTGCAGAACACTGTAGGGGTGCTCGACGGGGGAGCAACTGTTACTAAAGAAACAATAAATAACAGAATAATATGGGAACTGGCAGATTAGTTTCTCCTTTCACATCTGTGGATGTTTAACTCTGAATGTAAAACCATTACTTTGAGAATCATTACTGAGAAATATCCTTTGTAATAGCATCATCTACAAATACACACACACACACACACACACACACACACACACACACACTGAGAAACTACACAAGATGTAGACTTCTAACTAGGTGCTATGTATGGAGAGTAGGCCATGACTTGTTCAGAGTCACTCCATGACGTATGGAAGGAACAGTAATATTCAAGCTGTGCCTGACTCTGAATTACTCCATTTTGCACAGAAGTTTGCCATCAGCTACTCCTTTTGAGTACAAATACCGAGGAGGAATGACTCTACACCTTGTTTGTAGAAGTAAACAACCACCATCTTCCCAACACAACCATAAGGCAAAAATTGGTAAATAATTTATATATGCCAACTTATCAAATTAAATCAGGAGCACATGGATATGGGAATGTCACAAGTCACATCAGGAATGCCTGTCACAGAAGCTTATCACCCTCACCAGATCCAACCCCTTCACCCAAGACCCATAAAAAAAAAGAGTCCCTTAAGCCTGGACACAGCAGCACCCTGACCCTGTCAGCTGGTAACCCACCATGGCTCATGCCATGCCTGGGAAAATAATCACAAGGATAAATCTTCAGTCCTGCCCCTTCGGGTTTCAACATAGAGCAGTTTCTCTTGCCCACAAGGATGACACACAGCTTAATCTAAACTGACACCTTGAGCTGACACTCTGAAACTGAAACTGCTATCCACCAGGGCCCTCCGCCTTGAGAACTCTGCAAAACTGGTTCTTTAAAACTCTTAGATGACCATCTATGATGACTCTTTGACTATGTGCATTGACATTCCTCTTTGCTTGTTATTCTTGGCACAGCATTCTAAAATCCTGTGGTTATCTAAATCCCTTTAAGGCTTTCTTTAATGTGTGTGTGTGTGTTGTGATATATATTATATATGTATGTATGTAAATATATATACACACACATATATGTATATATATATATATAATTTTTGAAATATGATGTATGACTTGAGTGTTATAGATATTAGAAATTAAGATTGGAATAGAATAAAAGAACTTGTGACTGCCTGGCTTATGTATCAGGTGACCCATGAGTATTTGATGAATTGTCACTGCTGAAAGTGGTAGAGTTTGTAAATTTATTGTTATTCAGTAAATTTTGACATTGTGGAAAGATACAAGTGTCTATATTAATGCCACAGCACATTAGCAATACTATGGATACCATAAGCATTTTTTGTTTTTTATAGCACTGGGGATTGAGTCTTTCACATTCTAAACAAGCACTGTACACTGTGCTATAATCCCAGCTCTTTTAATTTTAATTTTGAGAGAAGGTCTCACTTAGTTACCCAAGCTGGTCTCAAACTTCTGATCTTCTTGCCTCTGTCTCCCAAGTTGCTAGAATTACAGGTATGCAACATTATACCAGGCTCAAAAGACATATGTGAAAGATAAAACACCTTGACCAAGGAGATTAGAATCCTCTGAGAAAGAGGAAATTATACAGATGGGAGATAGATAGACAGACAGACTGAACAAGTTAATGTGAAATAACTACTTCTAGAACACAAAGGAGAAATATTGAGGTCAAAGGTAACCTAAACCCAAGAGGACATTCCAGAAGAGGTGATATTTGAGTTGGATTTTAATATTAAATCAACAAAAGCCAGATGAAAATGGGAGACCCAAGTAGGCAAAATCACAAAAACATAGAAAGTTTTGATGTGTCAAGAAAACAGAAAAGAGATTAATATTCAGCATTAGTTCTATGTGTGAACAATAGGAGGACATCAGCTGGACTGAGAAGGGCCTTTAGACCATACCAAGGAGATTTCATCCTGGAGGAATAAAGAGAGGTCTTCAACAGGGAGTGACATAAAGGCCCAAAAAAGCATTAAACATAAAAAAAAAATCGCACTTAATCAAAATTAGAAACTGCTGTTCATCCAAAGGCACTGCTAAGAAAATAGAAACAGAAGCTACAGACTGGGAGAAGATATTTTCAATGCATGTACATGACAAGGAGATTGTATACGGAACTGTAAATAAGAATCATTAATCAACCTATAAGTTAGAATTGTAATTTTGTAAACTGTAAAGAATATACATTAATCATAAGAAATACAAAATTCCACCTTTTCAGGGCAAAATACTTGAATAATAACTTCATAAGAGAAGCTGTAGCGACAGGCAATTGGCACATGAAACAACTGCTTGGCATCTTTGTCACAGGAGAAACCCAAATCACAGTCATGGTGAAATACCATTTCAGGCCCCACTTGAATAAACAAATAGATCAAGAGAAGAGAATAGTGTCCATAAGTAGACTCACAAGTGTAGCCAACTGATCTTTGACAAAGGAGCCAGTAGAGTTCAATGGGAAAAGGCGTCGCTTCCACAAATGCTACATGTCCACAAATGAAAAATAAATCTAGACCTAGACTTCCATCTCTTACAAAAATCATCTCAAAGGGGATCACAGACCTAACATAAAATGTAAAACTATAAAACTAGAAGATAGCAGAAGAATATCCAGGTGACCTTAGGTGTAGCCATGAGTTTTTAGGTACAATATATATATATATATATATATCTCATAGATAACTTATAGATATAATGTATATATATTATGAAGTTGTTTATCCTTCCATCATAGTTTATACTATTGTCATATCAAAGATGATCAATTTGTAGCATTTACATGTAGAATTTTTTACTACTAATTCAATTATTTTTTAATATATTTACTTTATTTATTTTTATGTGGTTCTGAGGATCGAACCCAGTGCCTCACATGTGTGAGGCAAGCTATCAACCACTGAGCTATAACCCCAGCCCCTCAATTATTTTAATGGCTATAGTTCTATTTAGTTTTTTTTTTCTTTTTGGGGAGGGTAATTTTAGGTCATGTATATTTACTTAGACAATTGTCATTTGACATAAGATTTATATTATCTGGGATAAAGTTTTCTATGATATTTTCTTATTATTTTGTTTAAATCCTACCTTTCGCTGTTGTGACCCTTCTTTTTGTGCCTATTGCTTAATTATGCCATTTCATTTGGATGAATCTTGCTAGAGATTTATCTACTAAAATTTATTTTTTCAAAAAAAACTAGTTTTTTATTTAGTTGATCTTTACTCTTGTTTCTTTTATTGTCATCCCATGAATTTTCTTATTTTTATTATAATCAAATATTCTTTCTTAGAATTTGTTCCCTTTTTAACTTTTAAAGTTCAAATGCTTAAATCACTAATTTTCGATCTTTCTGGCTATTATATAGACTTAGAAGTGTCACTCTAAATACATTTTTAGTTGTGTCCAAGTTGTTACATAAAATGCTTCTATTGCAGTTTTGAACATTTTGTAATTCTCATTTGATTTCTTCTTTGAAATACTTAAATAATTTTGTTCTACTTATAACGTATTTTCTTGGTTATTTTATGCATTGCCACCTAAATTGTATTATATTATAGTTAAAAAGCATAATCATATGGCATTGATTCTTCAGTACCTACTGAGACCTTTTGAAAATAGTGTACTTTCTCCATATATTGTGGACATGCTAATATATGTCTACTATATCTTGTTAGATGTATTTTCATACTTCTGAATCCTAGTTTTCTCTATTTGATCAATCAGTTTCTCATATAAGGGTGTTAGATGGAAACATTCTGATTGTAAAACTGTATATTTATCTGTATAATTTTGTTCAGTGTTGCTTTATGTACTTTGAGTCTGTATTATTTGATGCATAAAAGCACAGGATTATGGATTCTTCCTGACTGGATTATTCTATCATTGAATCATAAAACTCATTCTTCATATTGTTCTTTACCTTAAAGCCTGTTTTCTGATTTTAATATTGCTAACTCAGTTTTCCATAATTTTATTTTTACCAACAATGTCATTAAATGTTAAATGTTTCTTGTTAAACTGTATTAGCTACATTTTGTTTTGCTTCAAAGATATCCAATATGACAATATTTCCTTAAGCAAATGAGTTTAAACATCTTAAGTTTGTGTTTGTCATTTCTACTGTTATTTTGTATTCATCCTTACTTTATTTTCCAATGATATTATTCATATTCTTTATTTCACTCTTTTCTAGCATTTTAGTATTTTTTTTAAATCTCCTGCAATATTAGTCTTTTGAAACACAGAAAACATCTATGACTATTTATATTTGCCAAAAAGTTTATCAGTTTTTTTTTTGCCTTCATATCTTATATTGTACACCTTCCCTGGATTCAATTTATTTCTTTCTTAATTTAATAACACAATTTAATAATGTTTTCATCTGGGGCCTGTAACTTCCCCACTCCCCCACAAGCTGGAATGTGCTTCCTGTCCCTGTGAATACACTGAAGCCACAACCTCTAGAGCTTACTCCAAGGCCTGCCCACCACTGTGTTATCAGGTTTTTTCTCTGAAAATTGTAATTGTAATTACAATTGAATAAATATATGTTATGAATAAATATATAATATTTATTATATATTTATTCATAACATGTAGATATTTGTAAGCAAGAAGAAAACCTATCCATGGCTATTCATTATGCCTTTTGCCCTAAAACTCATTTCTTAGGGACTATTTTGACAACTCTTAGAAGAAGGGTCATGGCTAACCACAATGCAGTTGAATAGAAGGCACCTAACAAATATTTGCTGACTGGCTTCTTTGCCATTTGCATTCTGGTTGAAAATATCTAATCCAAGCTGGATTACCTACTCCACTGTCAGATTTGCATGTTTACCACCTTGTACTTATGCACTTTGAGACTCTAAAATTCCTAAATCATTCTTGAGATATAGCAAAAGTAGTACTGACATCATTAAGACTCCATTTTTTATATAAAGAAATCGGACTCAGAAAGATGAAGTGGATTCTTTGTAACTCATAA